GCAACGCCAACACGTCGACCCAATCACTGGTTCCAAATCCCACTGTGATCAGCTTCTCAAACGCACAGATATAAGCACCCATGCACAAACCCCATGCGACGCACAGACATATTCCACCATGCACAAACCCCATCCATGTGAAGACGAGCATCACAGTCACCCAACCCCCCATCCCCGTCATGCATGTTCCAGTGCAGCTGCTAACGGATACCAACACATCACCTTCGCTCGTCTATTGCCAAAGCATGTATCAACATCACCACCGGCAAGGAGTTCCAAATGCCGGCAGCCAACAAACCCCGCTTGGGTAATCCATCCTACCCCCCGCTCTCACCACCGGACCTGTTGTGTCCAGTCACTGCTACGCTTCCCACTCGAACTACTCCCCGCCCCAACTTCACTACACAACTCCACTCACACAAAACAAAAGGCACTCCACCACGGCGCTTCCCTGCCGCGCCGCTTTCCTCGTGCCCCCCACCCGTATGTACGTGCCGCCGACGCACTGGCTGACCGCAGCCCCCTGAATCTCATGCCAGCGACGGGGAGACGCTTCCCGCAGCTCCTACTCACTCCGCCGCACGCCACTCTGTACAATATCCGTATCCATGGATCCACCGGTCGCACGCCAGTCGCTCATGAGACTCCGCTCGAAGCGGTTTCACAACCGGATGAAGAGCCCGAGTTCGATCAACTTCAACACGCTCAGGTTCGCCACCACTATCTTCTTCCCGCCCTCGCCCGCCAGCAGCTCCAGCACCTTCTCCTTCTTGTTCTCCGCCACCTCCAGCGCCAAGTGGTAGATGCCGTTCACCAGACGGGCCACCACCGACAGCTCCACCTTCGCGACGACCGTCACATCCAGCACCTTGCCGTTCTTGTTCTTCACGAACAGCTTCACCTCGAGGATGTTCCCCAGGACCTTCACGGGTCCCACCGCCGCCTCAGCCCCGGCCTTGACCTCCAGCACCTTGCCGCCGTTCAGCACCTTGTCCAGCACCAGCTGCACGTCCGCCACAAAGTGGTTCGCTCACACCACTGTCAAACCGTGGGCAGCGCCGGCCCCGCCGGAGCTGCCCGCGGCGTCCGCCTGGGCCACGCACAATGCAGCGGCCATCAGGAGAAGGCCCAGCAGGGGCAGTGCTCTGGCCATGGTGAATGTGGCGGAGGGTGGATCTGGTTCTGGGCGGAACGCAGGGAGAGCCTGGAAAGCTTGGGATGTAAGGCCCTGAGATTCACGCTGGCCTGCACTTGAGAGCGCTCGGATGCAGTCGACGGGAGCTGTGAGGTTGAACGCCGAGAGACGAAGTTGTTATACATCTGCAGCCATGGTGCGTGTCGACCGCGGACGCACGCGATCCTGCATGGCACGGAACCCAGGACATCTGACCTTGGAGGTGGTGTCGGAGGATCGTTTTTTCCTTTACCTTCGCCGTGCTATAGCCTACAACGTCGGTTGGTGTGAGGAGCTTTTGTGCATGCAGCGTACGTGGACTTTGGGCTGGGTGGAATACGTCGAGGAGCCGCCGAGGATCGAAGGGTGCGTTGACCTGGGCACATCATCGGACGAGGGGCCAAGTGTCGAGGGATGTAGTAACCGAGCAAATTGAACGATTCCATTTCGTTAGATAGTACGAAGAAGTAGCCATGTGGTCAAGAGGCCATTAGGTGCGAATGAGAACAACGGGAAATTCTCTGGAACTCCCTCCACTTGTTGGAGAAGAGGAGAATGATGGTTTTGCCGGTTACTTGTGGGGATTGGACTGGTATGGTGAAAATGTTTTGAGATGAGCAATGTAGACCAATGGTTGAAAAACCAATCAAAGAATTGTTCTCATCCCTATTTAGTTTTTAGTTTTTAGTTTTTTTTTTTTTTTTCTCCTTTTGCCACAAATAGAAATGGATTTTATTGTATGGAGCAAGCAATACAAGGCCAAGCTAAAATAGAGTTAAGAATCCCCGCTTGGCTTGGGATTGAACTAGTAACTTAGCATTTACTTATACTACACCCTGCTAGATGGGATTCTATGATATTAGGAGCTAATTTCATTATAGTGTCATGTCAATTCTTTACCAAATCAAACACACAGAATATTATTGTTGCTCCTTGTCTTGTCAAAACTTTTGAATAAAAAAGCAACTATATTTCTATCATTTGGCAATATTTGGGTGAATTTGTTCCGTTTGATGCAGCCATAGTCTTCAAGCCCATACCATATTCTGGTTGTAATGCTCTCCATGGGCCATTCTTTTTTGTTATTATATGCCATAGCATTATGCTCTAGGCACAGCTCTTAAAGAATAATACCTCAATGTAGTGACCTGATTAACTTAACTTTACTATACAGTCAATTGTGCGCGGCGTCCGCCTGAGCCACGCACAATGCAGCGGCCATCGGGAGAAGGCCCAGCAGGGGCAGTGCTCTGGCCATGGTGAATGTGGCGGAGGGTGGATCTGGTTCAGGGCGGAACGCAGGGAGAGCCTGGAAAGCTTGGGATGTAAGGCCCTGAGATTCACGCTGGCCTGCACTTGAGAGCGCTCGGATGCAGTCGACGGGAGCTGTGAGGTTGGACGCCGAGAGACGAAGTTGTTATACATCTGCAGCCATGGTGCGTGTCGACCGCGGACGCACGCGATCCTGCACGGCACGGAACCCAGGACATCCGACCTCGGATTGGTTGTTGTCTGCATGAATGGGTGTGAATAACCTCCGTTTAGCGCGTTTCATGGCCGTCTTGCCAGGGGACTTTGTCATCTTGCGTGTTATCCAGAAGGTGCTGTGAACTGAGATTGCCTTGCGACCTGCTCCCTAACGCAACAGCGGCTTGCAGCGGTCCAGATAAGTTGCTGCGATGAAGCGAATGTCTGCGGGTTCTGGATTCATGCTTAGTTGCGGGATTCCGGACAGAGCGGAGAGTCGCTGAGATCGTTATTCCTTGTGCGGACTCAACTCGCTCTTCGCGAGGGCGTCGGAGACCTTTCTGGAGTGTCCCAGTGGATGGCGCGCCAGGTGGCGAACGCCATTTGGACGCCGTGAGGGATCTTCGCTCCCCCTGGGCGCAGCCCGAGTCGCTCCACCATCCCTTCGTCGAGACAAATCCTGGCCGGTAACCTCAGCGCCCAAGAGCCTGTCTCTCGTTCACGGCGGTGCAAAGAATCTGCGTGATGGTTTCTTTACTTTTTTTGTTTGTTTGTTTGTTTGTTTGTTTTTAACTATTATCTTTTGTTATGGGGATGCACGGAGTTTATCGCAGTATGTGACGAATTACTGCGGCCCTGGGAAGAAGTTGATGCACATCACACGAAGTGTCAACTGCTCCGAAATGAAGGTGGCCACATGTTTAGCCATGACACAGGGGTCGGTTGCTTGCGATCCTCCATCCTCACCGTGTGCAGCACCTAAGTGCACCTTGATATCCTGGCATGCGTAAATGAGAGTGGGATCTCGATCAGTTCGGAAGTTGGAGAGTAGCGAAACACTGAGCTGTGGATGACGATCCAGGTGCCTTTGCGCATGGCCATTGCTGATATCGTCATCGTCACAGATGATGCGGCCACTGGGAGCCTGCCTCGTTGACTTCACGTCAGGAGATTGATGAGCGCTCTCAACTACGACTCCATCAGATGCGATACACTGTTGCGCAAACAACGCCACCAACAGCCCGATGCCACAGGCACTCCCATCGGCGACCGGAGCAGAAAACCAGCGCGAAGGTGGTCATACGTGGATCGCTTCGTCACGAGAGCAAGGCCAGCTGCAACCGGCCTGCCTCTCAACGCCCCCAAGCTGAACCGTGATGCTGTAATTGTTTGCAGTGGTGGTAGTTTCCCCTCAGACTTGCACATGCAGGTGGGAGGCCATGATGTGATTTTTGCACTCCTCGAAAATGTTACACGAGGAGGAGGAGTGATACCCGAGACGAGCTCGAAAATTACTCAATGTGAACTCTGGAATCTGGAACTCGGCTGTCCATCTCGCCTGCAAGTACCGTGGCAGGCTTCTGGCGCAGGGCGCCAACTTTTCGCGAGCGTTCCGGGGACCAGTCTTCAGTCCCGTCCCAGTGTTGAGTTGGTATTCAGCCAGGAGAGCACAAGGGAGTGCTGGCGCTCAGGAAGCGCAATGCCGGCGTTCAGTGCACCAAGTCGGCGTGATCCACCTGCCGCATCTACCATCTACCCTAAGTTTGGCTAATTATAGGTCATCGTCATCACGAATCTTGATCACCACCTCAGTTTCGCTGCTTTTGCTGACAGGGGCGGGTTGCCGAAATCACCAATTATTTCAATCGGTGTCTGACGCCGTTGACTTGGAACATCGGCCCAAAAGTTTCTGATTGTGGGTATCTTATTGTAGTATCTCTCTCCCCTTCATGTGGGGGTCCATGTGGATAAATCACTGCACCATTTGCATGAAACGATGTGCTTGGGAGTGGCTGTGCATCTACACATTTGTGCATCTGGGATCCAATTTCGCCACACACAAAATTATTCCCCCTGAGCGTTACAATCCACGGTGCTGTGAATTTATTTCTTTTCCCTCTAAAATGTTACCAGGGTTCTCCACACCTGGTCAGTAACAGTGATAACGAATCAGGGCGTTACTTTCTGCTTTGGCACAAGTAAAATGAGGTTTCATTGGAGGGAAAAAGTACATAAATTTGTCTTAGTTAGGACTTGTAAGTCGCCGCCAAACAGACACTCAAGACTTGGACCTAAACTTGTAATATACAACTTAGGAGGGATCTAATATAACCTGGGATTTTACCTTGTTGGAATGCCAACGAATGTGTTTGCCAATTCTAGTACAAATGAGATTATTTTTTCCCCTAGTTGAAGTCAATGGTTTTATACCATCCATCTAAGGCTTTTGGGGGGGTTTTTATCAATGTCTTGTTCCAAGCAAATCTCCCATAGTTGCTCAAATCTTGCCAAATGCAAGTTGTGGTTTTTTTGATTGGCCTAATTTGGTTATTGAAGGCTTAATTGTTCCACTCAAGCCAAAATTTTGAGAGTGTGGTGCCATGGAGGAGGGCCTAGATTATCTATAGCTTCTCAAATTGTTTTAATAATTTGCATGTCAAAATGCATTGTCTTTAATAGAAGTTAAGAAGTGCTAGTGTGGTTCATGGGTTGCCACGTAAGGCAAAGGCGGTATTGATACTCCTCTCTTAAATTCTTTGTTTCTATGGGCATGACCAAAACTCGTATAAAATTGATTTGGTCAACTTGGGGCATGAAGGGCAAAAAGCGTTGTCAAGGTAGAGAGAGTTTGTCTCAAGAAAGCATTGGGCTCTTGGTTGCTACTAATTGCTCAATCAAGTCTTGAGATAAGAAAGACCAAAGATATATATATATATATATATATATATATATATATAACTATAAATAATACTTTTAGGAGAAATTACACCAAATATATATATCTTAAGTTCTCAAAAACGCCCAAAATATAATAAAAAATTCTAAATCCTTATATATCCATATGGGATATTATTCCCAAATTTCAACAACTCATATCTTCCAATTGGACTATTCAAACACACTCAAATTTGACATAAATTACTAATGTACTTCTTACAACTACTTCAACAAATTTCAACTACAAATTCGTCGTGGAGCTAAAGATATCAACAAATTCCTAACTCTAGCTTTAAATCCTAGTTTTTATATACTTGTGTGCAATTTTCTTCAAATTTCACAAACTAAACACTCAAATGCGACAAAATTTGTATGTATAGCATTTTAACACAATAATCTACCTTCTCTAAAAGGTTTAAGCCAAAAATTCATCCAACAACTTAAGATATGGCTCCAACCATTGTTATGAAGAAAATCACTTACTTACTACCTTTGATTTGGATGCACTGACTTCATCTCTCTACAATTTCGTTATCCGAGCTCCAAATTCATCAAATAGTTTGTAAAAAAATGTAATTAAAAAAATTATTCTCTCTAATCTCAATTGCAAATCCTTTGTTGCTCTCCGTAAACATATGTTATGTCCCAAAGAGTGACAATAGGTATGAAATTGACACCTTAACTTTGAGCACTAATAATTCTTTCATAAAAACTCCAAATTACACAAAATTTGCATCCAATCTATATCTAGAAACCTAAACTTACTGATTCTAGCCTCCAAAGCTCAAATGACCTCCTAAAAGAAACCCTAATTCCTAATAAGGCCTGAGGCAGCCTCTTTGAAGCCTATTGGGTATGGCCTTCGACCAATAGGGATGAAGAACCCCATTCCTTGCCTTCATCCAACCATACCTTGCTTTCATCCCTTCCAATAAGTCTCTTACTAGTTTAGATTTTCATCTTTAGGCTCTAATCTCCTCTTAAGCTTTATACTAAATATCTAAATTCTACATAATATGAATATTATAATCAAAATAGATAATCCTCCAAATAGATTTTTTTATATCAAATATCTTTAAATTTACTTACTAACCATTGTAGTCTACATCAAGACTTACAAACATAATATATGTTTTAATTAGTTTTTTACATACTATAAGCAACTAGAATATAACAGCATTAATAGCAATGTTATAATAGCTTTGCTAGATATGGATTGCCATTGTCTTATACAAAATACTCTAAAAAATCATAGTCCTATTTTAAATCAAGGTGAATATATGAGAAAAATAAGTGGCCTGTTGATATCAATCATGGATAGATAATTAGAGCTGCAAACAACCAACAAGGTGATTTATATGGAGCTTACTCAAATATAAGGACTAGGATTGGAGATATGGAAGTGGAGCAAAATTTCTTTGTGAAAATCTCTACTACATATCTGGTAATACCTGGTCAACTTTATATTACAGATACTAGAATGGAAACTAGAGTCTTGGATGATGGTTTACATTATGTCAGGATTCGTAGTTGAGATGGAAGAAAAGCTGTGCAATTTATTACTGTGAAACCTATCTATGAGAGGCATAAAGAACAATTAAGAGGGATGCCTTTGGAGCATAGAAAAAACTTTGTGGATTTCTAAAAAGCATCCTTGTAGTATGGAGACACATGGATACAAATAAGTCATCTTCAAATTTCTATGTAGATAATATGAATTTTGGATTTTTAAACTTGACTAGTAATGGATTTGAGAGTATTCAAAGGATTAAAGATTTAAATTTTGTACATAGAAGAAGGGTGAAGAAATATGAGAAAAACTTAAAAAGAATGTGTTTAGTTTCAAGTGATGAAGCCATAGTTGGAGTAATAGAAGAAAAAAGTTTGGAAGATGATTTGATAAAGGTTTTGGAGAATTTAGCTACAAGCATAGATAGAAATGCCATAGTAGAAATATATTCAAGAGAGACTTATGAGGAATCAAAAAAGATAGTAGCAATTGGTGGACTTGCTACAAGCTATGGATTGAAACTTGAGAATAGAGTACAAACTAAATATAAAGCTATGGCAAGAAAAGTAATTCTATAGCTACTAAATTACCAGTTGATACTATGGAACATATTAAGCAAGCAATTAAGGAGCCAAGTCTAAGAGAAGGATGTAGAATTGGACATCAATTTATTTAAGAATCATTAGCTAAATTGAAGATTAGAGGGAGTGATTTCTTGACATCAATAGAAAAAATTATATTTCAAAAAATGCTTATTAGGCATGGTAAGGCATTTACTTTAATTCTTGATGAAATTGGATGTGTGGATCCTAATATTGTAGTACCTATAGTAATCTTTACTGTGTCACATGTTCCAGGGGATTTAAAGCCTATACCTGTGCCTAGAGCTTTATTTTCAAAATTCATAGAACTATTAAAGGAGAAGGTGAAGATGGATATTTTAGAACCTCCAATTGCTCCCTATTCTAATAGATGGTTCATAGTACCCAAGAAGTCAGGGGCATTAAGGTTTATTCAGGATATGCAACCTGTAAATAGAATAATAATTCAGAATATGGAATCATGTCCTATAATAGATGAAGTAGCTGAACAATTTGCAAGTCATGCCATCTATTCTATTAAAGACTTTTATTCTGGATATGACCAATTTCAATTAACTAAAGAGAATAGGGACTTAACTACCATTAAGACTCTTTTGGATTTAATGAAGATGTATACCTTACCTCAAGGTACAACCAACTCAGTGGCTCATATGTAAAATGCTATGAACCAAATATTAAAAGAATTTATATCTAAAAAGATTATTCTATTTTTGGATGATATATCTATAAAGAGAGATAAAGAAGAAAACAAGGATGAGACTATGGAGGTTGAAGGTTGTTGAAAGTTTGTTAAGAGGCATATTGAAGATGTGGCTCGAATATTGGACAGATTGGAATCAGTTAATTTCATGTTATTTTTGGAGATATCAAGCTTTAGAGTTGATGAGATTCTAGTGGTGGGACACATGTGTATCATGTATGGTAGGAAATCAAACCCTGATGAAATTGATGCTATATCTAAAATGAAGGGTTGTAAAAATGTTATAGAAGCCAGAAGGGTTTTAGAAGCATGTGTATTCTATCACATTTTGGTGCCTCAATTTGTCCATATCTCAGAGCTACTATAAAAGTTATTAAGGAAGGTTAAGAGATTTGTTTGGAAAGAAGAACAAAAAATAGCTATGGAAATCCTAAAAAAGATGTCGAGTTCACTACCTATGCTTAGACAAATGAATTATCAATGTCGAAGAGCCGTGGTTGTAACAATGGATACAAGCTCCATAGCAATTGGATGAGCTATTAGACAAGATGATATAGAAAGGAGAAGGTTTGCTTTAAGGTTTGGAGCCACGATTCTTACAAAGAGGCAAAGGGATTATCTACAAGTTAAAAGAGAGCTTTGGAGAGCACTCACCACTTAAAGGCTGAGAGGAATTATTTGATTAGAGCAAGTATGATTTTGGAAATAGATTGTTTGCTACTACTAAGAATGATAATTAATTGTACTACTATAGACATTGCTATTACTAGGAATGATAATTAATTGTACTACTATAGACATTGCCATCTTAAGATGGATAGCCTATATAAGAACATTGAATCTTGTTTTAGTACATGTTACTGACAAAGAAAACTTGGTAGTAGATATGTTGTCTAGATCTAGATATACCTTTGAAGAAGAAATGATGGTACATGAAAGAAGTGAAGATCAAGAAAAGAAGAGTTATAGGAATTCATTTACTATTGGTGGAATGGATTTTAGTGATAAGCTTCAAAAATTCTATAAAGGTTTATATAAAGGCACATTGAAGGATATTAGAATTTATTCAAGCACAATGAAGAAGCAAGAAGGGTGGATGGATAAAACCTTTAAAGATATTAAACATAAATCCTATGGTTATTTGCTTAGGGATGGATTCTTATATAAGAGGCCAAAAAGAAGTGATAAAATTCCATTGAAGGTAGTAGGAGATCTTGAAACTAAGTTTAAGGTTTTAAGAAAATATCATGATACACTTTGAGCAGGGCATAGAGGAGTTTGGGCTACATATAGTAAGATCAAATTAAGGTATTTGTGGAAGGGTTTGTACAAGGATGTAGAAGATTTTGTGAGCTCATGCTTAGAGTGTCAACTACAATCTAAAGTTAGATACAGAGATGGATTATATCCTACTTATCTACCTTCAATACATTTTCAATGGATAATTGATTTGGTAGCTATGCCATTAAGCCTTTGGAGTATAAAATATTTAATTTTGGCAAGAAAAGAGCTATCAAATTATGTTGAAAGGAGGGCTTTGAGAACCAAGACTACAAAGGGAGTATGCAGATTTATATTAGAAGATATCTTTAGC